GGGGGAGTGGGGGTGGTGCGCAAACAAAGACCACACACTTTTCTACTGTACAGTGGTCAAACACTGGAACGGTGTTGCCCAGAGGAGGTGCACGGTCTTCAGCTTTGGAGATATTCAACACCCAGCTGGACATGTCCCTGACAGGACAATCCAGAGGTGCCTGCCAGCCTCGGCCATTCTGTGATTCTGTGAAGAAACAGGAGGAGAAGAGACTGGCCAGCACCTATCATCTACAATATAGGCTTAGCTTTAATCCAAAAGCAAGTACCCTCCTCGTACCAGACATTTTGCTCATATCTGAATACATCAGTTGCAAAGTCAAACGGATGTTGTTGTTACTCCAACAACAGGGAGGGATTAAAAGCTAATAAGACTATTAGCTACACAATTTATCTAACACTGCTTGTACAGCTGTTTGGCTTATTTTATTTTATATACTTGAATCAACTAAATTTGATTTGAAGATCAGACAGGAAGTCACATTAACATGATTTGTTTATGTTGCTGCTGTTGTTTTAAAACAGAAATCAAGTTTGATCACATTGAGAACAGAAAAGATTGAAGACTTCTTTCCTAGATGTCTACATTCTTAACTGGAGCTGCCTTTGCAAAAACAATAAATGCAAGTCTGTGTCTTGCTGCAGAGCAATTTTTTCCTCAAAACGTTCCTTCTTGAAGAAAAACTAGAATATAGTACAGAGAGAACAGGTCTGAAGTAGTATGCCTACCCAGTAGTCATTCAAGAGCGGAGCCAGAAGCTCATCTCCCTTACAATTTTTACATTAAGGTAGAACCATGGGTGCCAGATTGGATGTGGGATGTTAAGGCTTGAATGTCACATGAGGTCTGGACTCCATTCCTTCCTTCCTTCCGTGTCTATCACCAAGAGTTATCAGAAACAGCTGTTCCATACCACTTAAATTCTAGAAATAAGATTCATAGGAACACCTTAGGAATATGTACCAATAATTACAATCTCTTCTTACCATCCCTCCTGTTAACCTTCCACAGATCTGTCTTCCTAATCAGGTATTTATACCATGCTCCATTACTCATTGCATTTGAACTCATAAGCCAGAATAAGTCAGAACAACTTAAACTGAATGACTGGATAAAAACTAAAGGCTTCAGCCACAAGTAGACTTTGGGATACCAAACCAACTTCATTGAGTTTCAAAGAAAAATCAAGATCCATTTAGTATTGTGTTCAATGAAAGAACTTCTGTTTTAAAAACCACCATGGTGCATCTGGCCTTTCTCTCATTTTGGCCCTTCACAATTTTTTCTTAACCCAAAGGATAATTACAACACTTACGTCCCCAAATGGGTGATACAGTTTTCAAAGCCTACTCCTCAACTTAGCATGAATCTTCTCAATGGCAACTAGAAATTATTTTATGTACGAAAGAGCTGTTACAGATAATTACCTGTCTTAGTGCATAGACAACTGTCCCAAAAGCAAAGATGTAAAATATTTATTTTCTGTTAAATTAATGCGGGGCACAGCACAGAAAGACTGAAGAAGTCAAATGTGCCTCTAATTGTTTCCTTTTGCTATGGAGTTTTGGTCTCACGTGAGAGCCTTGTATCAGATCCACTAGATGGTGCAATCCATCTTCTTCATTAAATGCATTTGAAGTTTATACACCTAAGTAGTTAATTTTTTAGAGAGAATAAAGTCAAACTTAATGCTAATCAAGGAAAGGTTTATTACTGGAACAACAAGGCACCAAACAGAAATAGGAGTTCAGGAAAGATCTAGGCTTAAAAATCACATATGTTAGCAGCCAACATCTCCATTTTCAAGAGAAATACTATTTTACCTGATTTCAGACTATATACATGAGGTTCAACAAAATTTCCATCACATGAAAAAAACCTAATCAGAACAGCATGCCTTAAATGATTTAAGTAACATCAACAGGTAAATAATCAACCCAATAGGGGGCTAAGAGATTTACTGACCAGTAAGATGGCACTCAGCAGCACAGTAATATTCAAAACAACCTAAAATTTGTCTTAACTATTTCAGAGATAAAAACTGTAGCCACTAAGACCAGAATCCCACAGCTACATTCTGATATCTCCCTTGTTATTCATAACCTTGACCTAAAGCTGGTTAGCTTTTAACTTCTGATTCTAATTCCCAGTCTTGGTAAGGGATTAAGTCAAGATACAGAAATGGAAAAAATTACTGCCAGGTAAGGAAGTGAACTATCTCTATGACAGACTACACCTGTGATCTGGATCACAGCCAAATTTTATTTCAGCCCTCACCAAGTTCCCAAATGTTTGAGGTCTGTTGAATCATTGAAGAAAATTCTATACTGCCTATTACTTTCTTGGTAAGTGACTACGTACCACAAAGAATTATGTGCACTGACAAGACTAGAAAGCATGGTACAGTGTTTCACTGGCCTCTCAGAAAATGGAACAGGTGCTTTCTGCATGGCAGGCTTAGCAAAAATTAATAGACCTTCAAAAAGTAATTTGTTAGTCCTCTCCTGGCAGTTTTTGGTGGATTTTTACTCTCAGCAATTCATACTTTTTCTCCTCAAACATGTTCTTTTTACAGGGCAATGAAGACTGTTAATTGATATATTCTGCAACAGTGGGAAATGTAGTTTCCTGCAGCCTAACAAAAAAAAAAAAAAAAAAAATTAAGCAATTTTCCAACATCAGTGACATATTTTGCAAAGGACAATGCCTAAAATTCAAAGAAAAATGATTTTTTTTCTTCTTCAAAGCAACATAAATTGCACCCTAAAACATTAGAAAATTGATACCAAACTCCATTCTTCTCCGCTTTATGAAAACAGCTCTACCAACCATGATAAGGAAGTACAAAACAATACCAATTTTACTAAAATTAGCATAATATTTCTTGACTGAACATTTTGCTTGTGGGCGTTTTCCTTTTAGAAACTGTTAATTTGGAAAAAAGAAGTCCTCATGGAAACATGTCTGCCATGATGAAATGTTGTCTGAAAGGTCGCTGTTTTTTTGATGATATGTCAGCCTAGCGCAACAAAAATATTTTGGTTCTTCATTTCACTTAAGAATTTTAAACACTTTCAGAAATACCTACATCTTGCTTAATAATCTGTACAGTGTAAATAGAACATATATGGAATGAAAAGATAGAAAGTTAGCCTAGAAACTTACTCAATTAAATAGGAAGTCACTACTGACATTACATTTAATAGTATCTTTACACAGAGATAATCCATAATGCTTTTGCCCGCTATTATTTCGTGTCATACTAGCATACACCACTGACCTTATGGAGTGCAGGAGCCAGTACCGGCACCAGAAATCCATTGTAAATGTAATTCACAAGCTGGTTACGTATCAGGGGATGTGCCACCTGAGAGGAAAGACACAGAACAGTTCCAGTGAGATTTAAAACAAGACACAGCCCAGACTACTATTATCCACTACCAAAACCCTTTCCCATATAACAAGACATGTTCATGTGTCATTCTCACCAGCATTTGCTATGATTCAGGTTCTTAAAGATTTTTCCTTCTTCAAAAGAAATACACAAACTATGTTTAATTACAGTAAGCCTGCCAAATTTAGAGAACAGGGCTTTTTAATCTTCCTGCGTGCTGACAAAGATGAATGGATGGACAGAAAAGTGTGTATACCCATGCATCAAAGGAAGATTTGAGATTCTAAATTTAGCTCCTGCAACCTCGTCAGGGTCACTTGAAGGTGGATTTGCCATTGTTAACTTGTCCTCTTACAAGATGAAAAAGCAGAACAGCTGCTTTCCTATGGTTCAAGAGTAGGTAAACCAGAGCACTCTCTAGCTATGGGGTAAGAACATACTGTTCATATGCCGTTCTCCCAACCACTGTAAAGCAAACAGAAATGAAAACAAAACCTACATTATTCATTCAATAGGTTGGTTAGGAGCTTTAAAAAATGAACTGTTATTAGAAGCCAAAAATTTACTTTTATAATGAAGCATTCATTTTGTTTTCACAAAGAAAGCATATTATCAATTCATGCATTTAAAAGAACTTTGATAAAAGCAAAAAAAATTCCATTCAGAAGCATTCTAAGTTAATATATTCTGTTTGAAGTTCACATAGAGACTGGAACGTCACAGCCTACATGTGGCCACAAATACATTCTCCCACTTGCAGTTCTTCCCAGACTTCCTTTAATTTGTAACCCTTACTTTGGAAAGAGGAAGAAAAAGGGTTGCCCTTCCTATGCTGTGATACAGGGAAGTAGTAGTAAATGACAAGAGGTCTTGGCTACGCTGTCCCTTTTTAATCTCTGGCCAAAGTTTTTGGGTCAACGCAGAACAAGCCACACCACAAAAACCACTCCATGCACAGAGCAAAAATTCCTGCAGTAATTGAGCTTTCAATTCAGCTGAAGAAAGACTATAAAGACACAATCAAGCAGCACTCAGAAACTGCTCTTTCTGCATGTCAGCTGAAGATCCTTAACCATTCTGAGTTTATTTGAAAAGCAGTTTTAAAATAATATGCTCTTCTTCAATTTGTCTGCAGTAACCTTTATATCAATTTTTTTTAAAAAAAGGTATCAAATATGAACTCCTGCAAATGTAAATATGTAGAAAAATTCCACTTAGACACCAAAATGAGTATTTTCTCCTCTTCACATTTAAACATGCATGTTAAAAATCTTGTATATTGCATTTAAAGAATGACAGCTACTATTATTTTTGCTTATTCAATGCTTTAATAATCAATCAGTTGCTTTACTGTATTTTGCACATGTCTCACTAAAACGTATCTTTTATTTAACAGTAAATGTGACTAAATTTTCAATCTATTCAGCACATTTCTGCAGGTAACACATAAATCCACAGTTTCTGTAGAATTTATATCATGTTTTAATAAAATACTGGACAATGGTTCTATAGGGTTTTCTAGCCTTAAAAACAATATAAAAAGACAAAAATATCATTTTACATTTAGATCAGAGAAAAAAAATAGTAAGGGATCAAAGCCAGAAAAAAAAAAAAATTGTAATCAAGAAATAATCAAAGAACAGAGAGTGGATGCAAAACAGACCAATCTAAAATGAATTTATATTTCTAAGAAGATACCTAAATTCTGCTTGGCCAATATGCAGTACTCACCAACAGGCAAAACAGACTATTTTCTTTTGTATGCTATTATGAGAGCTTAGACAAACACAGAATGTTTTTTCGTGCTTAAATATACAAAGACTACACTTTCCCCACATGTAAAGGCATTCAATTTACTTTTAGTATCAACAATGGTATTAAAATGGAATAAACTTTTTTTTTGTTTTTTAAAAAACAGAAAATCCTCTCAATTACATAATGAAATACCAAGCCGCCACACAAATCTACTGCTTTCATTTGAAACATTCGTCGCCTGAAAACCAAAAACACATTAATTCATCCTTATAACCAGGACAAACAGCACAAAGCATTCATTTCATAAGCAACTTATTTTAGCGTAACTTAAAAAGTCCATGCCATTATAGAAGTAAATAAACTCTATAATTTACAAACTTCTGCAGAATATATAAAAAACTACTACTTCAAAAGGACAGGCCAACTTTGCTCAATTACCTGTATCACAGCATTGCAAAATTCAAGGGAATTCATGAATTGTACAAGGGCTGGTGACAAGAGCCAGTCATCTTTCAGCAGACAGTGCCACTCTTCTCCTTTTTCTTCCAGCTTTGTAGGCAAAGATGAATAGAGGCCACTTAGTCCTGTTGCAAGCACCTGTATTTCAAAACCAGAAGAGAAATACGTTGACTTTCCAACTGTCCATCTGCTTGAATGGCAATGCCACAAATCATTTCCCTTACTGGTTTTAGTAACATAAGAGAGTGTTGAGATTAACTTCATTTCCTTTTGAAAGAGTCCTATGGCAGAAAGACATGAGTATTTTAAAGAGCCTTCCATATCATATCCTTCTTCCAAGAGCTGGTATTTAGGAGAAAGTGATGGGGAAAAGCAGGTTGCCTTGTATTTTTTTTTTTTTTTAATCTGCAGTTATAATTTCTTTTAAAATACTTGTAAAAATCATTTTACACTTCCCTTCAGTCCCTTCCACAAGAAGCCATCACTGTCATATATCTACAGCTTGTCTGTCTTTGGTGATCTGAATGTTACAGCTTACACATGCCTATATGAAGTGATTTCACTCGGAAATATGAAACATTAGAAATGGAGGGGGGAAGCGCCCCTATCAACAAAAATGAAGTTCAGCCTCATGTAGACCACAGACATATGTTGACTTTCATTCCTAGGCACTTGAACTCAGCTGAATCCACTTTAAAAAAAAAGAAATTTCTGTTTGTAATTTCTTACTTCCCTTTCTTATTTATTTGGAAGGGGGAAGGGAAGAGATAAACAAGCCTGAAATAAGTTACTGTATAGACATTGTTTCCAGTGATATTAATGGTTGCAGATGATTTATGTAGAATATATCACTGAAGCAAAGATTGTATTTCTAGTTACAATTTTAAAAGCGTATTTCCAAAGTTTTTTTTTTTTTTAATTTTACAGAATATATCTGGAGTATTGGTAGTTTCAGACCAAGTTTTTAATTATTAAAGTTATTTGATGCTGGGAACTTTCTAAATGTTATTTACAAGTCTTAGCCTTCTGACATAATTTTATACAACTTCAGGATAATTCTTAAGATTATTCTCATTTTAATGGGATCATTAAGACTCAGCCTGATGGAAACTTTCTTAGTTTTCATTCAACAGACTTTTGTAAGAATTTTTCCTCTTTCTGCAAAGGGCTACTTGGCATCTACAGGGCTAGACAGTCAAAGCTCAGATGAAACACAGTGTTTTATGTATTAGAAAACAAACGGTCAACAATGTGCAGGTCAAAGACCAAGAGTTCATGGAAGGGGATTCAGGTTTTGATCATATGCAAGCATAACCAATTATAATTGCTAATCCATCCAGTCAGACAAACACTGTCTTTCTGAATGCTTAGGATGGATTTATTCTGGCATACATAATTAAGCCAAATATTTAAGGTGGGGGGGAATACTGTGGAAAATTCACTGTTTTCGCACACTGTGCTACTTTTTTTATACACATATACAAAGAAAGATGCTGGTGATATGTTAAAAAACTAAGAATCTAAAGCCATTGAGCAAAGCTTTATTTGTACAATCACATATCTTTTTTGCTTTTTCTCTCTCTAACGGTAGAAGAGCTCAAAGCAAAAAGTTAAGAAGATCTTACTAGGCCTATAGAACTACCTATATGTAACACACATACACACTCTCACTCACAATCCCAGGCTTCAGACGATTCTAGGAAGGAGAAAATTCTGAAGAGAGAACTTGAGTTTCTTTTGTGTTGCAACCTGTTAATTAATGCACACTTGATTTTCCATTGTCTGCTTAAAATTTAATTGCTCATAAATGCATACTTACCCTCTCAGTAAGCAATCTGATTTTCAGAGTTGTGTACTATCCACATTTCTCTTTCACATGGAAGTTTAGTTCTTAAGCACAAGAAACCAACCTTGAGCAAAACATACTACTCTCCACTAAAAGGAGCAGTGAACTCACAATCAGTCAATGTCTTGAAGTGAAGAATTCTTTAGTTTTTCTGACTTACTGAAGTAACAAATGACAGATGTAGCTGCTAAAATCTGTAAAAGTTTAAACAGCTCTTATTTTTGCTATGAAGTGCACAAATGTCTCTATGTGAGATTACATTTCTAAAGCACTGAAACAGAGAGTAGCCACTGGAAGCGATTTCATCTCTTTAGGTAAAAAACATTTGAAAGTTTTCATAGAAGTATATGGTATAAACAGGATTACCATTTGAAATTACCAACAGAACTCTTCACATTCTATAAGCAGGCATATAAAATAATGCACATATATAGACTACATTATGGAGTTTTAATCAGTAAATTTACAAACATCAATGAAAAAGAAATCTGAAGAGGAAAGGAATTAATGAGTTCACAACGTGGAAGGGCAAGATTGGGTTTATTTTTTGTTTCATCCAGAGCAGTATCCTTTTAAACCTCTCCCAACATTTGTCAAGTCAACCCTACATGCTCATCTACTTTTACAAGCATGTCCAGCAGTTTCTTTCTCACCGAGTCATGAGTCTCCATGTAAACCAGGCTCCTTGATTTATTTACTTTCTCTTGACTCACAGAAGACATTGACTACGTGATTTGTAATCCCAGGCGCATTATATGATTAAAATGTGTTGTTAATCTATAATCAATTGTTATCCAGCCAATTCCATCCCTTTAATAATTCCCTTTCCTCCCACATCCATAGCCTTTCTATCTCTGTGCAGCCTCAACTTTCCAGGGACATTGCAGCGCCATACCTCCTCCTGCTTTAACACCTACTTTCCTAAGCTGTGAGGTATTTACAAATGCAAACTTTTATGGAGACACTTTGAGATGCTATCCTGCTCCAAATTTTTTAGAAACATTGTTTTCTTATTATAACACTGAACAGACAATATCTTCAATCAGATTCAGAAACCTTTCAGGTCAAAACATGATAAAAATCATATGGCAGAAAAATCCCTGTAAAATCAGAAAACTTTGCCCAATAGTTTGTCTACACATTCTATGTTAAAAACATTTGTTAGTGATGTATCTTACTGCAGCCTCTCCCCTTCCTTCTTTATAGTTTCCTCACCTACAGTTTCAAATACCATGGACAATCTAGTTTTAAAAAGCTGCTAACCAAAGTTAGCTCAAAAAAAAAAAAAAAAGTATCAAGAAAGCTTTCAGGTTCACTTTGGCACAGATCTAACAGTGATTCGGTTATATGAGGCAGCAGAGATTTATGGCCAGAACCCATCCCAGGGCATGCCTATACTATGCAATAAGGCATAGTAAAGAAAACCCTACATGCTACCAACCAACTCAGCCCCAGAAACAGAGATAGCATCAACATGGTGCCACTCAAATGCCACTTCTATCAGCACAGAACTGTGCTAGCTGTTTTGCAGAGTGGCTGAGGCCCCATCTGCACTGATATGAGTGATATACAGCAATGCCACTGACACCTACAGAGTCTTCCACCAGAACAAAGCCTGTGCCTTTAGCTCATCGTACTCAAATTCAAAAAAGATTTTGTGCTAGTGAGCTAATTCTATGTCATTGCATTAAAGTTTTATCATAGACTTAGGCCAGTCTCATTACTGTTCAGAAAAGTCCGATTTTAGCACATTTTGACAAGAAGCCTTCCTAATTAGAATGATTGTCAATCACGGCTCCCTGCTGTTAGAAGGTTAATATAGCTGGCTTTTATCTTCAGTGTAAAAAGGCTGGTTTTTTTTTTTTTTTAATTAATTGGAAGATCTAATTATGGAAGTTATAGCATGGATCCAATAACGGTATCTGTCTCATGGACAGTTTGAGAATCAAGTTCATATTCTTTAGCAGCATCTATTAAACAAGGTCAACTGGAATCTCTCAGCACAAGAAATTCAATCCAGTATTTACAACTGACAAAGGAAATAATTTAGAAGTTTTATTCTGGAACTTCTAGGCCCCCTCCAGCCTGCAAACCTGACTCTGCCCTACTGCTCAAAGGATGTAGCAATCTCAGAGTAAACGGAAACCTATGGCTGGAATAGCTGTCATGCACTAATACTTAAGGCAGGGATTCTAGTGTTCTCTGCTCTAAAGTTCACTCTCTGCTTTAGTATTTGTGTAAGGCTCCCCTCCACTTCAGTTTTTCTGGCATTTATTAAACTAAAATGCAAGCAATGCAGAAGATAAAAGAATCAGTCCAAAAACTGGCACACAAGAGCAACTTTTCTACAGAATGGTATTTGGTTTTGAACCCATCCATTGCAGATCTCAAACAGTTTTTTGTGATAAGGCATGAAGGAGCAGGTGGTGGTGTGTCCGTACTGCTTTAGCTTTAAAACTGCAGTAGGGCAGCTTTGTTTGTTAAATTAGATTATTTACTTGTTTAACAGCAAAGGTTTTCTATTCATGTAGTAAAATTGATTTGCCAGATCTAACAATGCAAAACTACTACCAAGTTTTGTAACAGAGTACAACACAGCAAGATGGTGGTTTGCCTGAGACAGCCATAGAAACATCCAATTCTGTGACAAAGAGCAAGTCTCCCTTTTACCTTGCAAAGTATTACATTTCTGTAACACACTATTTTCACACTTATTTTTTGAACTGTGGAACCGATGTTGTAGTGTGTCAAGCACAGCCCGCCTAAGCTAGCGCGCCGCCACCAGTAACAACTGCCTTAGAACACCTTGTTCCCATTTCTCACTCCCTTCACCCCCAGAATCTCACAGGGGCCTCACAGTGAGATAGATCAGGTTTCCCTCCCACCAAGTTCTGCTATATCTTCTATCAGTTTCCCAATTCAATTCACTGTGTGACTGCAAACACACTTGTGCTGGCCCAAAAGCACAAGACACTCGTATGGAAATAAGGAGCAAGACTGCATTTGCCAGTAGGGCTGGTTTAAACAGCATTATAGTTTGTGAAACAGCTGTTAGCAGAAACAAATGTGTTACAACACATCTTTATCAAAAATGACAGAAAAGGATGAGAAGAATACAGGGGACAAAGGTAGTTTAGCATTGAAGATCAAGCGAACCAAGAACAACTTACTGGGCAAAAATAGGTGTTTTCTGCTATGTGGTTTGCAACAACGTTGTTTTCTGCAGACAGAGACATTATGAAAAGCAGCGCATCACGGGCCTGTAGGCCTACTGTTCCTTCTCGATGGATGAAGGGAATCAGCAGGGAAAAGATGAGGAAATTGGCAGCTCCTTGGTCCTCGCTGGTATGGAAAAACAGTTCTAAAATGGAGGGATCTTTGGCTATTATAGAGCAGAGCTGGTTCAAGAGGATGACCAACTCTGTTTCCACTGTTGGAGTGGCTGTTCCTGAGCAGGAGCTCAGCAACATCATCAAAGGCTTCAGGATGGGCTTGTGATGCAGCAAAGGCTGATGAGACTGGGTTACTAGCATTTCATACATTTTGAGTTGCTCAATTTTGGTCTCATCGGTGAACTCTCGGCGTAGGCTCCAAAGAAAAAGCTTCTCCATGATGTTTTCTGAGACCACAAACTCCAGAATAGGCCCCATTGAGGCATCCTTTGCTTGCTCCTCAATTAGTAAGAAAAGCATGTGCTCCACATAATTCTGAACAGTGCTGGCCTCATCAGGTGAAATTGCCCCATACTTTGCCTGAGTGTTTTTCAAAGGATCATGCTTCTCTAAGATCTTCAGAACCTAAAGAGAAACAAATGCAGATCAGTTATTTGAAAGTATTTTTGAAGAATATGCACTTACCCTTATAAGGAAAAAATACATCAAAATTCTTAACACAAAAAGCCCAACTTTTTTTATGCTTTTAGTTTTTGTCTGTCAAGCTTTCTAAATTTAAAAGTTTCACATTTGGTATGTATGAGGCCAAAATGTAATGCTTTTGTTCACTTTTATAAGCACCTAAATTTGCCACTTGTCCTGTTGCTGAAAACTTGGTGTTCTCTGAAGTATGGATAAACCGGATTCCCTTTGCCTTCAGAAACTGAGTTTCAATGATGTTTGCAGTAAGTTTCTTCGTCACAGTGGACTGAAATTAAAGGGCCCACTCTTCAGCCAGAGTAACTGTGCTCAGGAGTATCAATGAGATGACATGCAGTAGTAAGAGTGGCAGAAGCCCACAGGCCTGATCTTTCCTTGCCACATCTTTTATGATACCAAATGGCCACTGATACCCACATACTCTTGCAACACTCCATATAGATTTAGGATTGAGTAACAATTGTTGTCCCAGCACTTACACCCCTGGATTAAATTCTGTTCTGCATGCAATCAGTGAGGCTCCTTGTCTGTGAAACAACCACTGTCTAGCGCTTTTGTGGAGGATAATTGCCACAAAACCAGAAAGCAACAGTGGCTCCTGTAACATGACAGCATCACTAGAGTTAAGTGAGAAAAGGTGGCTCTTGAACGATGGCTCCTCTGACACTGGAAACATCTCAGAAACACCAGCATTCATCTGGCTTGCTTCTCAGGATAGCCAAAAAAACAGCAAAAGCAGCAGCACAGAAATCAATTTTACATAAACTGTTAGTTATTCATATTACTGCAGCAAATAAGACCTTATATTATGGTGCTTGGAGCAAAACATCTTTGCCTAAAAGCAATTATAATCCTGATGACATGCAAACAATTTTTAGAATATGCGGAAGTGCATAATCTACATCTATCCGTAATAAACAACACTGCATACAGCTTTGCACCATGTGTCTAATACACTTTACGAAAGCTAAGCAAGCCTTACTCAGCACAAGAGAAGGAAGCACAGAAGTTTGCAACAAGGTCCAAGTCACAGCAAATCACAATGCCAGTAAGAAGATCTAGGCCTTTCATAAGATATTACCATGTCCTACCACTTGTCTTTTAAATGCAAATCTGGAGTTCAAAGTGTGATTAGTAAAGGCTAACAATACCTTAAAAGGTCAATTACCTTTGTGTTTTAAAATGTTTCAATGTCATCTACTACATTCAGCATGAAAGATGTTTGTTCCTGAGCAATTCAGGATTTTCCCAAAAGTAAGAATGAAGCAAATTCCTATTAATGCAGACTACTTCAAATCAATAAAACTAATTAACATTACCTGTGCCCAGTGTGTTCTAAACACTATCATGCATGTTTCTGGGTCAACACCCTGCAGGCTCGGAGCCTGCCGATTTTTGCTGGTACTGGTTCCAGAGGACATTATAAATTTTCCAAAGGTCAAGCCCACTAGGCCATGCTGGATTTCTTTTGAAAATCCTGTAGCTAGCTACAGATGTTCAAGCATCATGGCGAGACTGGTATCCACAGAAATCTGTTTAAAAAAACCAAACCAAAACACAGATATACCTATTCACATCAAAATATAGTATATAACAAAGAGAACATACTTAAAGAGAACACTAAAACCTTTTTTCTTTTAATTCAATTTGAGGATGCAATCTTTTAAAGCATGTTATATAAACTTTTCCTCATGATAATAGTTTCTAATGCTCAAACTTTTGAGATCAGTGACTGAATTAAGGTGCTACTGAAATAACTGAGCATAACAGAAGCTCATGCAGTAAACATTTTATGCATACGTCACTACATTTTTAGTTTTTCATTATGACATTTTTGCCATTTGACCATGTCTCTTTTCAGGTTGCTTAGTAACTAATGTTGCATAGGCTATACAGGTAAAAAAAAGTACAGGTTATTTCTATATTTTTAAAACAATATTTCCATGAATAGATATAATTACAAATACTTAAAGTTTTCTGCCAGAAAGCATATCATGAACAGTTGAAAACATCTGTAGAACACCATATGTAAGTAGAAGGATGCTTCTGTATCAATACCAAAGTAACCAAAACCAAACAACATAAAAGATAAAACCTTCATGTATCCAAGGTCAAATAAATTGAGATGTCATATTAAAGGACTATGAGAATAAGACCAAACATTGAAACATTCTTTTCATCCATTATTTAATATCCTAGATATCTGAGTATTAAAGTAGTTGCACACCTGCAGGGGAAAGTTAAAATGAAACAAAGACAGATATCTTTCAGATATTTGAGAGGCTTAAGAGAACATATTATTCCCTCAAGCACCAATATCTAAGTCACACAGTGCCCCTTCTTTTTTGGTTTTTTTTTTCCTCCATGAGCTTTACATTTTTATTCTCCTTTTTGCAAACCAGCTAGGCTCTTAATTTAATTCAGTTTTGGGCCACAGCAAAAAAAACAACCCTGGGAAAAGAAAAAAAAAAGACACAACCAACAAAAAACCAAAACCCACACCAAAACAAACAAACAACAACAAAAACAACCAAACCTCCACGACACCAATGTAAAAGAGTTTAAGACAACAATAAATGCACTACAAGTTCCAACAGCTCATGTAAATCATAGCAGATTTTTATTTTCATTAGAGACCACATTTTGAAGTGCTCTCCTTTTCTACAGTCTTCATTAGGATCCCAGGGCCCCTGGTCATTCATTGGCTGTATTGGGTTTGCATGGCAAGGTTTTGGTAGCGGTGGGGCTACAGGGGTGGCTTCTGTAAGAAGCTGCCAGTAGTCTCCCCTATGTCTGACAGAGCCAACGCCAGCCGGCTCCAAGATGGACCTGCTGCTGGCCAAGGCCGAGCCCATCAGCAGCGGTGGTAGCGCCTCTGGGATAACATATTTAGGAAGGAGGGGAAAAAAAACCTGCGTAACTGCAGCTAGAGTGAGGAGTGAGAATATGTGAGAGGGACATCTATGCAGACACCAAGGTCAGTGAAGAAGGCGGGGGAGGAGGTGCTCCAGGCACCGGAGCAGAGATTCCCCTGTGGCCCGTGGTGAAGCTCATGGTGAGGCAGCTGTGCCCCTGCAGCCATGGAGGTTAACGGTGGAGCAGATATCCACCTGCAGCCCGGGGAGGCCCATGCTGGAACAGGTGGATGTGCCCAAAGGAGGCTGTGACCCTGTGGGAAGCCCGTGCTGGAGCAGGCTCCTGGCAGGAACTGTGGACCTATGGAGAGAGGAGCCCACGCTGGAGCAGGTTTGGTGGCAGGGCCTGTGACCCCATGGGGGACCCACAATGGAGCCGTCTGCTCCTGAAGGACTGCACCCTGGTGGAAGGTGCCCATGCTGGAGTCCGTGGGAAGGACTCATGTTGGAGAAGTTCATGGAGGACTGTCTTCCATGGGTGGGACCCCACGCTGGAGCAGGGGAAGAGTGTGAGGAGTCCTCCCCTGAGGAGGAAGGAGCAGCAGAGACGACATGTGATGAACTGACCGTAACCCCCATTCCCGGTCCCCCTGTGCCACTCAGGGGGAGGAGGTAGAGAAAACTGGGAGTGAAGTTGAGCCCAGGAAGGGGGGAGAGTTGGGAGGAAGGCGCTTTAAGATTTAGTTTTCATTTCTCATTATCCTACTCTGATTTGACTGGTAATAAATTAAACTAATTTCCCCAAGTCAAGTCTGTTTTGCCCATAACGGTAACTGGTGAATGATCTCTCCCTGTCCTTATCTCAATCCACAAGCCTTTCGTTATATTTTCTCTCCCCTGTCCAGTTGAGGAGGGGAGTGATAGAGCAGCTTTGGTGGGCACCTGGTGTCCAGCCAAGGTCAACCCGCTACATTGGATTAGTGAACTACATGAGGAAATTTCTGTACCATAAGTTGCCACAGCCCATACAGCAATTCTTTGCCAGTATGGTAGGTATTTCTCTGCGTATATCTTAAAAGACAAAAATCTTTTCTCTACAGTGGACATCTCTGCTCCCTGCATGTGTGCTCTGCCTGTATTCTTGAAACTGTTAGCACAGCAAACCATAAGCCTGTCTCAAAAGGAGTAGCAATTTTTGCCATTTTCAAAATGTCCAAAAATACACAGGGCACAACTTTAAGATTTCTGAAGCAAGCAAAAAGCAAAAGATGGTTATGCATTCCCCTGTATCTATATATGTATATTCATATGCTCAAGATTCAACAAGCTTCAACTGCATGATCAAGGTCTCCCCACTCCATCCCAACCCTTACTTCTTACAGCACATAAGATGCATTTCCTACGCATTTTCTAAACACTCTCATGCAATACAATTAACATGACCTAGTTCATCCTTTTTGCAGATAAAACATTCCATATGGGGAGAAGCCAACATAAATCCTGGATGGTTTATCTGTTTGGGTGACACTACTTCCAGAACAAAGTTGGCACTCCATACAAGCTACTCCCTGGATAATAAACCACCTGGAACCAGATGTACTGGAGAGCATTGTGCAAAACCAGTGAGAATTAGCTTATGAGAGCCAGCCAGTGCTGGGAACAGAAGTAATTGCTTATAAAATATCATCAAAGTCTCTCTACTGCTTGTCCCCCTACTCCACTCACGCTTCTCTCCTGCTTATCTTTTCCATGCTCACACTGGCTTTACACTTTCAAGCACTCTCATTCGCAGCAGTTTGGTTCATATGCTTATTTACTTGGAGGCACCTACGAGAATACTGCTACTTCATAAGCAGTCCTGGAAAAATGAATAGTACTGTTTCTACATTACTGATGTTCCTGCATGGGGCAGGGGGGAAGGAATTAAAAAAAGAAATAATCAGAGATCAAAGTAGCAACTGGATTTGAGAACCCAACTTCAGAGGCCTAAGATCTGGCTTTTTATCATTACTGACTTAAGTAGATACCACTATATGTTCAATGCACAGCTTCTGGTGACTTCTGCTTGCAGCTCTGAGAGCTCAACATTTCTACCAAAAAACACTCAGAAAACAAGATGCATGCTTAGAGACCATTTAGAAAAAGCCTGCTCTAAGTAGTTTGCCTAATACCATACCTAACAGTCCAAAGGAATATTTAATTGACCTATTCTTCAGATCACCTGTCCACTTCCTGCCAGTTCCCTCTTTGTCAGCCCTCTCCTTCAAACAGAAATCTTCCTGTTTCTGCAAAAGTTCAGCAGACTCCTCCAGGCAAAAGTGTCCTTCACTGCACAGCCCTGATTCACCTTTGAGCAGTTCTGTCCTGTGCATGAAGTGAATGAAGCAAGCAGCTTTGGAAAAACTAATGTGATTGTGTAATTAAAGATGGTATCATAAGGTGCAGCAAGAGAACCTAATTAACAAAGCAGAGGCAAGCTCAATTCTGGAATTTATGAGTTGCTTGACTTTACAACTTAGAGCTTGTTTCAATGTAGACTTTGCATGTTATTTAAGAATTTAAATAAAAGAAACTGATATTACACATCTAGTTATCACATGACAAATGCTATCAGCAGTACAGCAGTATGATACCAAGAGTAGAACCAGAAACTTCAGATCAGCCTCCACTATTTAAGCTGGTAAACAACAATAAGGGAGATTATGGCTTTCTTCAAGAATGCCAATTAAAAAAACAACCAACAACAAAAAAAAAAAACCCAACCCAACAAAGATCAGTGATGTAAGACTCGAGATGCATGCAGAGCTGTAGGATGTACCACACACAGGCAATCCAAAACTATTTAACCTGTCACCCTCTCTTCTCCTCTAATCTGTTCTAATTCTCTGTCTTCCCTAGCCTTTGCAATTTTCTCCTTTCCTCAGGCATCTTTTGTATCCCAGCCTCAGACTCTACTCCACAAATTTCAAGACAGTAAGCATTCCCTTCCCATCAGACCCTCCTTTAAATAACTACTTCTATCTTGTAGCTCTCTAAACATACTTTTTTAGAGTAGACATACCATACTGGTGCTTTGGTCATTACAGACTCCTGAAATATTGCCCTACTTTTCTGCAGAAGGCCTGAAGTGAACAGAAACGGTACACCTCTCACCACACATTCAAAATACAGCAAGATGCCAAGAGATCCAGTGACAGAGCCACTTTTACATTTGTGTGTAATAGGAAAGCTTACTTTCCACAAAAGTGCTACTTATTGACATTTATGTGAGAATTTATAACCACCACTATGTTATTGAACACTCAAGTCCTGCCTCTGTTAACAGCTTACTGCCTAAGCTGGTGACTGCTACAGTCTGCACTTGTATGAACATCTTTTCCTACACAAGGATATCCTAAGTCGAGCCACCCTGTATAAAGAACAGATAGAGCTGCTGTGAAAGAAGCCTCCAAGACAAGCAGGCATGTCCCCTCATCTCCTGCATGAAGTCCCCCAAGGTCTTATTTATCCAAGATAGGACATAGGGACATGGTTTAGTGGTGGACTTGGCAATGTTAGGTTTACGG